CTCTGCTCACACAAGGTAGGATACGGATGAACGACTCAAACCCCCATTCACCAAGTGAAATCCATCAGTGTCCTGCAATTGGAGCAAAGCGTCACAAGTGTCTTCATTCACATTTTCCAGACATGCATAGAGAACCTTAGTATCTAACCTGACCGATCTATTTACCTACATACACCCCCTCTATCTTCCTATCTACCTACTTACACCCCTCTATCTACCTCTTTGCACCCCCTCTATCCATCTGTATACCTACATACACCCCTCTATCTACCTAGCTAAATATTTATACCCCCTCTATTTACCTAGCTATCTACATACACCCATCTCTCTTCCTATCTACTTTCATAAACCCCTCTGTCTACCTATTTACACGCCCTCTATCTACCTATCTATCTAGTCCACTCCATCTTGCCATCTATCTAGTAATATTTCTATTGATCTGTTAGTCTCCTAATGTATCATTGTGAATTCAGCTAACTGAACAATGATGGGTCAGGTCAAGAATTTGACTCTGTGGGTGTTTCCATAAATTATCACGGGTCACATTCTGATCCCAGATTTCTATAGTGCCCTCCAGCGTGAGAGAGGCACGCCAGACGTGCTTATCACCAAACCACAAGTGTGTTTAGTGATGCTTTTGTGCCGGGAGTGTTATTTCTTGCTTCTCTCATCTTTACGCCCCTCTGTTCCCTACCCTCATCATTGTCCTCAGACTCTAAAGGCAAATGTTGTTTGAGGGGTCTCCCAGGAGACAGCCACAGCCCATGCTATGCTCACTAATTTTAAGATGGAGTCTTTTAGCAGAATTGAGCGGAATCCCCTCTCTGCGTAACGTGCATGGCTTTCATGTCTTTCATGTTCCCCTATTCTCAATGGTGAGTCTAGATAACTTCGAAAACAACAAGAAATCCTGTGGCACCTTATAGAGTAACAGATTTATTGGAGCTTAAGATTTCGTGGCCAAAGACCCACTTCATCTTCCATCTGACGAGGTGGGTTTTTGCCCACAAAAGTTTAAGCTCCAATAAACCTGTTAGTCTTTAAGGTGCCAGAGGACTTCTCGTTATTTATGCAGATCCAGCCTAACATGGCTACCCTTCTGAGTGACGACTTCAAGAGCACTGAAATTTCCTATCAGCTTCCAGTGACAAGGATCTAAAGTTGAGTAAATGACTCCGTTTACTTAGATCTGCTCCAAATGTCGGCCAGCATCATAAGATATCCACCAAAGTCTCTTCCGAACAAACAATTTCCTCTCTATTGATGTTTTCCATGAGAAAACTTTGATGTGAATGGAAGTTTTCATTTTTCCATTCCGAATCGAAATGGGGAATTTTTTGCTGTTTGAAACTTGGGCATTAATCCTGGGTGAAAACAAATATGGGAACATGGGCATGTGTTGTAAGATGGAAATTGCATCTGCATTATTAGAGAACCTCATTTGCATTTGTTAGAAATTGTTCTATGGAGTGCACTTATTGCACTACCCCAGGTTTTTTGGGGCGACACGGGGGGTAATTCAGACTCAAAGACCGTTTCAAATTCTGGAAATTCCGGCCCAATGTATAAACCCAGCCTCTTCGCTCAGTCTTTCCCAGTTTCCCAATTACTCGCTCACTATAATTTCATGCATTCCTTTGAGATCCCCTGTATTAAGAAAGTGAAGGGCATGCAAAATACAATATTCGTTACGGCTCATTTTAAATTCAAATCCATCACCTCACCATTATTATTATATTCGTTGTCAAAAAATAGCCATCAAGTAAACCATTTGTAGAGAACATCATGTACATGCTTTTCATAAAACTCTTCTTTATGAAACTTTTTGTTAGCAAGGTCATAGAATTAAAACCCCACAAATGGTCTAAATTGCTATTTCTGGTTTTGTACCCACAGTCATTAAGATCTACACTAGCACTAGGTCTCTTCACCTATCTTGACACACATCGATATATTTACGAAGTTGAATGATGTAAATTGTTCTGCAATATTGAGGGACGAATAACAATTTATAGAATTCAAAAGGCCAAAATCCCCCATTGTTGGCAACTCTCATCCGGCCCCTCGCTCTTCAAATGGTTTCAGGCACATTTTGGCAAAAGACTGAGATCAGAATGTGTCTTCGTCTGGGAAATTCTGTTTGGTTAATGTGGATTTAAGGTAATATTCCGGAACAAAGGAAGGAAGGAAGGAAGGGGTGGATGGGGATAGCAAGGAAGGAAGGAAGGAAGGAAGGAAGGAAGAGATGCCTTTTTGAACTTTAAAGTAGACAGAATAAGGCCAGGTCTACATTCCACCCTCCACCTTGGTTAAGGTATCTAACTCCAGACATGTAAAATCCATAGCTGGGGTTGGCTTAAATTAAGTGAAGTTTGGTTCTGTCATCACAGTGGGAGGCTGACGACTGAGCAAAAGTTTGGCAAAAAAGGCCCTGGGGAATTCCAGTGGATGAGAAGCTGGATCTGTGTCATCAGGGTGTCCTTGTAGCCAAGAAGGCTGATGGCATATTTGGGGTGCATTAAGAGGAGTGTTGTGAGCAGATTTAGAGAAGTGATTACTCCCCTTTATTCGGCCCTGGGATGGCAAAATGTGTTGTATTGCACCCAGTTCTGCATCCCCCTCTACAGAAAGGATGTGGACGTAATGGAGAGGGTCCAGCGGAGGGAAACTAAAATGATGAGGAGGCTGGAGCACATGATCTAAGAAGAGAGGCTGAGGGATGTGGGTTTCTTTAGTCTGCAGAAGAGTGAGAGGGGATTCTATAGTGGCCTTCAACTCTCTGAACTGGTTTCCAAAGAGGTTGGGGGGAGGCTGTTTTCAGTGGGGCAGATGACAGAATGAGGAGCAATCGTCTAGAGTTATAGTGGGGGAGGTCTAGGTAGGAGATTAGGAGAAAAAAATTCCCAAGGCGGGTGGGAAAGCACCGGGATGGGTTTCCTAGCGAGGGGGTGGAATCTCCATCCCTAGAGGTGTTTAAGTCCCAGCTTGAAGAAGTTCTGGCTGGCATGATTGAGTAGCGGTTGGTCCTGCTTTGGGAAGGAGGCTGGACTCGATTCCTGAGGTGTCCGCCAGCCTTGGGATTCTACAGTCTACCGGTTTGATGTTCCTCTGATTCAGTCTCTCTCACCCCTGCAGATGACCTATTCTGAGAGTGACCCTGGTGAGAACCAGACCATCTCTGGTACGCTCATCCTGCTGGGGTTTTCCTACCTTGGTGAGCTGCAAATCCTTCTGTTTCTGCTGCTGCTGGTCACCTACCTCCTCACCCTGATGGGGAACCTGCTTGTTATCATTCTAGTAAAGCTGAACCCCTCCCTCCACAGCCCCATGTATTTCTTCCTGGTCAACCTGTCCTTCCTGGAAATCTGCTTCACCTCCAGTGTTATCCCTCAGCTGCTGGTTCATCTTCTGGTGGAGGAAAAGTCCATCTCTCTTGTCGGCTGTGCAGCCCAGATGTACGTGTTCAGCATCATGGGCCTCACGGAATGCTGCCTCCTCGCAGCCATGGCCTACGACCGCTACGTATGCCACCCCTTGCACTACACAACCATCATGAGCAGCCGGGTATGTGCCCAGCTCGCGGGGGCTTCATGGTTCATTGGGATCTCAGTAGAAGTTGCTCAGATCTCGTGGGTCTTTAGCCTGCCCTTGTGTGGCTCCCACCACATCCACCACTTCTTTTGCGACATCCTACCCGTGGTTAAGATGGCCTGCGCCGACACATCAAAGAATCATATTCTAGGATTCTTTATTATTGCGCTTTTTATCACGAGCCCTTTCTTCATGATAATCCTGTCCTACGTCTACATTATCTCCACCATCCTCAAGCTGCCATCCGTGGAGGGCAGGCGTAAAGCCTTCTCCACCTGTTCCTCCCACCTCATGGTGGTGAGTTTGTTCTATGGAACGGCCCTTTTCACCTACCTGTGGCGGAATTTTAGCTCCACTCTGGAGAATGACCATATAGTTTTTCTCATGAACATAATTATAGCACCGGTGTTGAACCCCATAATATACACACTGAGGAACAAAGAGGTGAAGAGAGTCTTGAGAAAAACACTAGAGAAGAGAAAGAACAGGTTAAGAACTATTTAGGAAAGAGAGACATACACAAAGTGATGGGCCCGGATCTAACATGTCCGAGGGTAGTGAAGGAGTTGGCAGATGTCATTGAAGAGCTTTTGGCCATTATCATTGGATGATTGGAAAAAGGCAAATGAAGTGCCCATGTTTAAAATGGGGCTACAGCCCAGTCAGGCTTACCTCAGTCCCCGGAAAAATCATTGAGGAGATCCTCAAGGAATCCATTTTGAGGCACCTGGAAGAGGAGAAAGTTATCAGGAATAGTCAACATAGATTTACATAGGGCAAGTTGTGCCTGACCAACCTGATTAGCTTCTATAACGAGGTAACTGGCTCTGTGGACATGGGAAATCAGTGGATGTGGTATACGTTCTCCCACAATATTCTTGCCAGCAAGTTAAAGAAGTATGGGTTGGATAAATGGACTGTAAGATGGATAGAAAGCTGGCTAGACGGTCGGGCCCGGCAGGTAGTGATCAACGGCTTGATGTCAGGTTGGTGGTCGGCCTCTAGCGGAGTGCCCCAAGGATCTGTCGTAGGCCCAGTTTTGTCCAACATCTTTATTAATGATCTGGATGAGTATAGTAACTGCCCAGTTGTCTGCATGAATTGAAAGGACCCAGGGACCCGCAGCTGCTGTTGGCACCAGCATCAGCAGTTCTACCAACCTAAGGCATATTCCCTACCCGCCTTCACTCCATGACACTCCCTGATGTGGCCAGCACCTTCCTGTGGTCCTGTAGGGGGCATCTTTGCACACGACCTCCCCCCCCCCCAGGTGCTGACTTTGCAGCTCCCATTGGCTACACTGTGTGGCCAATGGGAGCTATGGGGTTGGTCCCGGAGCATAGCAGCGCCCTGAGACTACCTGGCCACCCCGCCTCAGAGCCTCACCCCACACACCAAATTGCACACAGGGTCAAACCGATCTGAGGAAGTGGATCTGGCCCACGAAAGCTAATAAACCATCTTGATAGTCTTTAAAGTGTTACATAGTCCCGTTTTTTGTTTCTTAGGCCATCAGCACTCCTATAATTGCAGGCCCTTAAATTAACGTATACAGAAGGGAGAAATGCCCAATCATCTGTACAGCTAATATCTCCCACTGTAGTTTTCACTCTGGAGAGGAATTAATAGTCCTTCATTCTGAAATAACAGCCATTCACACTGCAATTATACTCAGGATTCACCTGGTCCTTAATTGGATGAAGTAAGGTGAAAAGTAAGGTGATGTTGGCACCATCTGTAAAAGCTACAGAGGAATGCATTGCGCTCCAGAGCTAACACATCGTATCTCAAAATCGTTGATTGTCATTTACAATATAACAGGATTCTGGCTCACATTGGCCAGACATTTCTGCCAGAAAGTGTTCAGTCTAGGGATTTTAAAACACAAGTTTGAAATGAAAACAACTGTAGTAACAAGCAATTCCCTCTAGCATTTTCCATTCTTGGGTGGGTTGAATTTTCTTATGTGCAAAAACAAACAAAAAACTAGATATAAATATATTTTAAACAGCTTGTAGGAATGGAAAACAAAAATGTTTAAAAAGGAGGGATAATTAACAAGGAACAATGCCTATGATGTATATGTAATATCAAATAAATTAAACTTAACACTACCTGGGGACTACGTGTATTTTACCATCCTGTCTAACAAGTCAAGTTAATAATCAAAGTGCATATTATCCACACATAGCTCAGCTTTAAGATACCCAGCAAATCTATGTGTCAACTGGAAACAGTCATGTTGTCCTTGCAAGTATTAATACAATATTTACTTACACTGGAAAGGGGAGAAACAGCCATACTGTTTCTCTGAGATGTCAACTCTTAATTTGATTAATAGCGCGCAGTCATGGAACAGTAAAAATCCACAACAAAGCAACACAGAAAGCAACTAAAGCCACAAATGTGAAAATAGGAAGGGAACTAAAACACCAGGTGGTTGGTGATGGGTATTTTAAATGAATGCTTAGGATCACTCTACAAGTGAAACAGAGACCTGAAAAGCACAGATCAAAGTTCTCCTTGTTTGAAACTTTCACATTGTATGTGTCACTAACTCAGTGTCATACATTGTATGTGTCACTATGCTCCTTCCCAAACAAATTCTAAAATTCGATGCATTTATTGACGTATTGGTTTCCAAAGTGATGTCGCAAATAATCTCTGAAATCAAGAAGGCAAAGTATTCTGTAATCAACATCAATTCATCCCCTGAGATTGGTCACACTGAGCAGCTTACAGAATTACATGCTAGATGGTCCGGCCTGAGACCCATCCCACAGCGCCCTCCCGGCCAAACCCTATTGCTGAGCGCTCCCTAGTGCCAGAAGCTACATCCTCTGGCCTGGTGCCCAGCCCAGTACAGCCCTGCTGGAGCAATGAGGTCAGTGGGTCTGAGACATGAGACCTCTCAGCTGCGCCATCCCCCCACTCCCTGCCGCACCCGGCCCCCAGCCACTCTGCTCCCACTCAGAGTTTGTTCTAACATCCCTGGGAGCTCACCCTGACTCTGGTCCCACTGCAAACTGGCTGGAACCAAAAGGATCCGCCCCCCTGCTGCTCTGGGCTGGCCCTCCAGAAGGGAAATGGGACCTGTGGGTCGGGCAGGAGGTCTGGGAGTGAGGACCCCTGTCTTCCGTGCTCGGCTCGGGCAGGGCAGTGGGGTGTAATGGTTACAAAACGCTATTGCTGAGCGCTCCCTAGTGCCAGAATGGGGCATGGCCAGCAGCACTGACTAAGGAGGAAGCCCCCACGCCTGGTACCCAGCCCCGTACAGCCCTGCTGGAGCAATGAGATCAGTGGGTCTGAGACATGAGACCTCTCAGCTGCACCATTCCCCCACTCCCTGCCGCACCCGGCCCCCAGCCACTCTGCTCCCACTCAGAGTTTGTTCTAACATCCCTGGGAGCTCACCCTGACTCTGGTCCCACTGCAAACTGGCTGGAACCAAAAGGATCCGCCCCCCTGCTGCTCTGGGCTGGCCCTCCAGAAGGGTGGAGACCACTGCTTTAGACTATTTCACTATAGGAATGGCCAAGTTGCTTACATTGCATGATGGCAGAGAAAGACTGAGGGCCTGAAGTATGAGGAGTGCCACAGATTTTTTTGTAAAAATTCTGTATTCGGTGTCTCAGGGAACATTAGTGAGATTGTTTTTGGCAGACATTTTACAGGGGCTCTAGATGTCCATTTTGGAAGGGAATTTAGATTTTTGAAAGTTCAGGTATTGTACCATATTTCCAAGAGGGAGTCAATCCCAGGGTTCTTTTCATCTACAAAGTGCACACGATAACGAGACAACTTCCCCTAACCTGACCAACCTGGGGAATCTTGTTTGGCTGCAGCTCCAGGCAGGGCTGTTCCTCCTCCGAGGAACATGAGGAGACGTTGCCATGAGGGACTCGATCCCAGAAGCCAACGAGTGCAATAAAACCCCTCAGTTCCCTCAGCACTTCTAGCGCCTGCAGCGAGCTCTGCTCACACAAGGTAGGTTACGGACTCAAACCCCCATTCACCAAACTGACTCAAACCCCCATTCACGACTCAAACCCCCATTCACCAAGCGAAATCCATCAGTGTCCTGCAATTGGAGCAAAGCGTCACAAGTGTCTTCATTCACATTTTCCAGACATGCATAGAGAACCTTAGTATCTAACCTGACCAATCTAATTACCTACGTACACCCCCTCTATCATTCCTATCTATTTCATACACCCCTCTATCTACCTATCTACCTACATACACTCCTCTACCTATTTACACCCCTCTATCTACCTATCTACCTACATACACCCCTCTATCTTCCTATCTACTTACATATACCCTACTATCTACCTACATACACCCCACTCTGTCTTCCTATCTACTTTCATAAACCCCTCTATCTACTTATCTTCCTATTTATACCCCCTCTATCAACCTATCTATCTAGTCCACTCCATCTTGCCGTCTATCTAGTAGTATTTCTATTCATTTGTTAGTCTCCTAATGTATCATTGTGAATTCAGCTAACTGAACAATGATGGGTCAGGTCAAGAACTTGACTCTGCGGGTGTTTTCGTAAATTACCACACGTGACGTTCTGATCCCAGATTTCCACAATGCCCTCCAGCATGAGAGAGGAGTGCCAGACGTCCTTATCACCAAACCATGATTCTGTTTGGTCTTGATCTTGATAACTTTGAAAACAACTAAAAATACTGTGGCAACTTACAGAGAAACAGATGTATTGCAGCCAAAGCTTTCGTGGGCAAAGGCCTACTTCATCGTGCTTCTGACACAGTGGGTCTTTGCCCACAGACGCTTAAGCTCCAATAAACCTGGTAGTCGTTAAGGTGCCAGAGGATTTCTCCTTGTTTATGCAGATTCAGACTAACATGGCTACCCTTCTGAGAGATGACTTCAAGAGCACTGAAATTTCCAATCAGCTTCCAGTGACAAGAATCTATACGGACTTCATTTCTAGAGTTGAGTAAATGACTCCGTTTACTTAGACCTGCTCCAAATGTCAGACAGCATCATACGATATCCACCAAAGTCTCTTCCGAACAAACAATTTCGTCTCTGTTGATGTTTTCCATGAGAAAACTTTGATGTGAATGGAAGTTTTCAGTTTTCCATTCCGAATCGAAATGGGGAATTTTTTGCTGTTTCAAACTTAAGCATCAATCCTGGGTGAAAACAAATATGGGAACATGGGAATGTGTTGTAAGATGGAAATTTCATCTGCATGTTTAGAGAACCTCATGTGCATTGGTTGGAAATTGTTCTATGGAGTGCGCTTAGTGCACCACCCCAGGATTTTTTCGGTGGAGTGGGGGGTAATTCAGACTCAAAGACCGTTTCCAATTCTTGAAATTCAGAGCCAATGTATAAACCCAACCTCTTCGCTCAGTCTTTCCCAGTTTCCCAATTACTCACTCGCTATAATTTCATGCATTCCTTTGAGATCCCCTGTATTAAGGAAGTGAAGGGCATGCAAAATACAATATTCATTATGGCTCATTTTAAATTCAACTCCATCACCTCACTAGAATGCCCATTATGATGAAGTTTGTTGTCAACAAATAGCCATCGAGTAAACCATTGGTGGGGAACATCATGTACATGCTTTTTATAAAGCTTTTTATTAGAAAGGTTATAGGATTAAAACCCCACAACTGCTGTAAATTGCTATTTCTCGTTTTGTACCCACAGTCATTAAGATTTACACTAGCACTGGGTCTCTTCACCTATCTTGACACACATCGATATATTTACGAAGTTGCGATGATAGAAGCAGGAATGATGTAAATTGTTCTGCAATATTGAGGGACGAATAACAATTTATAAAATTCAAAAGGCCAAAATCCCCCATTGTTTAAAACTTTCATCCGGCTCCTCGCTCTTCAAATGGTTTCAGGCACATTTTGGCATAAGACTGAGATCAGAATGTGCCTTCATTTGGGAAATCCTGTTCGGTGAATGGGGATTTAGGGTAACATTCTGGAAGGAAGGAAGGAAGGAAGGAAGGAAGGATGGAAGGGGTGGATGGGGATAGGAAGGAAGGAAGGAAGGAAGGAAGAGATGTCTTTTTGAACTTTAAAGTAGACAGGATAAGGCCAGGTATACATTCGACCCTGCACCTTGGTTAAGGTATCTAACTCCAGCCATGTAAAATCCATAGCTGAGGTTGGAATAAATAAACTGAAGTTTGGTTTTGTCATCACAGTGGGAGGCTGACGACTGAGCAAAAGTTTGGCAAAAAAGGCCCTGGGGAATTCCAGTGGATGAGAAGCTGGATCTGTGTCATCAGGGTGTCCTTGTAGCCAAGAAGGCTGATGGCATATTTGGGGTGCATTTAGAGGAGCGTTGTGAGCCGATTTAGAGAAGTGATTACTCCCCTTTATTCGGCCCTGGGAAGGCAAAATGTTATTGCACCCAGTTCTGGGTGTCCCACTATAGAAAGGATGTGGACGCATTAGAGAGGGTCCAGCGGAGGGAAACTAAAATGATGAGGGGGCTGGAGAACATGACCTACGAGGAGATGCTGAGGGATTTGGGTTTGTTTAGTCTGCAGAAGAGTGAGAGGAGATTCTATAGTGGCCTTCAACTCTCTGAACTAGTTTCCAAAGAGGCTGGGGGGAGGCTGTTCTCGGTGGGGCACATGGCAGAACGAGGAGCAATGGTCTAGGCTTATAATGGGGGAGGTCTAGGTTGGAGATTAGGAGAAAAAAATTGTTTAGGTGGGTGGGGAAGCACTGGGATGGGTTACTTAGGGATGTGGTGGAATCTCCATCCCTAGAGATGTTTAAGTCCCAGCTTGAAGAAGCCCTGGCTGGGATGATTGAGTTGGGGTTGGTCCTGCTTTGGGAAGGAGGCTGGACTCGACTCCTGAGGTCTCAGCCAGCCCTGGGATTCCACAGTCTACCTGTTTTATGTTCCTCTCATTCAGTCTCTCTCACCCCTGCAGATGACCTATTCTGAGAGTGACCTTGGTGAGAACCAGACCGTCTCCGGTGGGTTCATCCTGGTGGGGTTTTCCTACCTTGGTGAACATCGATGACTCCTGAGGTGTCCGCCAGCCTTGGGATTCTACAGTCTACCTGTTTGACGTTCCTCTGATTCAGTCTCTCTCACCCCTGCAGATGACCTATTCTGAGAGTGACCCTGGTGAGAACCAGACCATCTCTGGTACGCTCATCCTGCTGGGGTTTTCCTACCTTGGTGAACAGCAAATCCTTCTGTTTCTGCTGCTGCTGGTCACCTACCTCATCACCCTGATGGGGAACCTGCTTGTTATCATTCTAGTAAAGCTGAACCCCTCCCTCCACAGCCCCATGTATTTCTTCCTGGTCAACCTGTCCTTCCTGGAAATCTGCTTCACCACCAGTGTTGTCCCTCAGCTGCTGGTTCATCTTCTGGTGGAGGAAAAGTCCATCTCTCTTGTTGGCTGTGCAGCCCAGATGTACGTGTTCAGCATCATGGGCCTCACGGAATGCTGCCTCCTCGCAGCCATGGCCTACGACCGCTACGTGGCCATATGCCACCCCTTGCATTACACCATCATCATGAACAGCCGGGTATGTGCCCAGCTCGCGGGGGCTTCATGGTTCATTGGGATCTCAGTGGAAGTAGCTCAGATCACATGGATCTTTAGCCTGCCCTTTTGTGGCTCCCACCGAATCCACCACTTCTTCTGCGACACCATACCCGTACGTAAGACGGCCTGCACCGACACATCAAAGAATAATATTCTAGGATTGTTTATCACAGTTCTTTTTATAATGAGTCCTTTCCTTATCATGAGCCCTTTCTTCATGATAATCCTGTCCTACGTCTACATTATCTCCACCATCCTCAAGCTGCCATCCATGGAGGGCAGGCGTAAAGCCTTCTCCACCTGCTCCTCCCACCTCATGGTGGTGAGTTTGTTCTATGGAACGGCCCTTTTCACCTACCTGTGGCGGAATTTTAGCTCCACTCTGGGGAATGACCAAATTGTTTCTCTGATGAACATAATTGTAGCACCGGTGTTGAACCCCATAATATACACACTGAGGAACAAAGAGGTGAAGAGAGTCTTGAGAAAAACACTAGAGAAGAGAAAGAACAGGTTAAGAACTATTTAGGAAAGAGAGACATACACAAAGTGATGGGCCCGGATCTAACGTGTCCGAGGGTACTGAAGGAGTTGGCAGATTTCATTGAAGAGCTTTTGGCCATTATCATTGGATGATTGGAAAAAGGGAAATGTAGAGCCCATGTTTAAAATGGGGCAGAAGGACAATCCAGGAAACTACAGCCCAGTCAGGCTTACCTCAGTCCCCGGAAAAATCATTGAGGAGATCCTCAAGGAATCCATTTTGAGGCACCTGGAAGAGGAGAAAGTGATCAGGAATAGTCAACATGGATTTACATAGGGCAAGTTGTGCCTGACCAACCTGATTAGCTTCTATAACGAGGTAACTGGCTCTGTGGACATGGGAAATCAGTGGATGTGGTAAACGGTCTCCCACAATATTCTTGCCAGCAAGTTAAGGAAGTATGGATTGGATGAATGGACTGTAAGATGGATAGAAAGCTGGCTGCACTGTCAGGCCCAGCGGGTAGTGATCAACGGCTCGATGTCAGGTTGGTGGTCGGCCTCTAGCGGTGTGCCCCAAGAATCTGTTTTCTGTTTATTTCTGACCTGGATGAGGTGACGGCTTGCACCCTCAGTAAGTTTGTGGATGACACTAAGCTAAGGGGAGAGGTAGATACGCTGGAGGGCAGGGATAGCATCCAGAGTGACCTAGAGAAGTTATAGGATTGGGCCAAAATAAATCTGATGAGGTCCAACAAGAGCAAGTTCAGAGTCCTTCTCTTGGGAGGGAAGAATCCCAAGCACTGTTACAGGCTGGAGACCGACTGGCTAAGTAGCAGTTCTGCGGAAGAGAACCTGGGGATTACAGCGGATGAGACGCTGGTTGTGAGTTAGCAGGAGGCCTTGTAGCCAAGAAGGCTAATGGCATATTGGGGTGCATTAGGTGGAGCATTGCCAGCAGATCCAGAGATGTGATTATTCCCCTTTTTGTTTTTGCATTCGTGTAGCTACATCTCAAGATAGGCCTGCAGTTCTGGGGCCCCCACTACAAAAAGGATGTGGATGCTTTGCAGAGGGTCCAGCGGAGGCAACCAAAATGATTGGGGGGCCGGAGCACATGACCTATGAGGCGAGTCTGAGGGATTTGGGCTTGTTCAGTCTGCAGAAGCGAAGAGTGAGGGGGGATTTCAGAGCAGCCTTCAACTCCCTGAGGATGTTTCCATAGAGGCTGGAGAGAGGCTGTTCTCACTGGGGGCAGATTGCAGAATGGCGACAATGGTCTTAAGTTACAGTGGGGGATGACTGAGTTGGGGTTGGTCCTGCTTTGGGCAGGGGGTTGGACTCCATGACTCCCGAGGTCTCTCCCAGCCCTGGGATTCTAAGATTCTCGGATCTTTGCCGACAGCCAGAGACATTAGAGTGAAAAGCAGAATTAGTCAAAACGGAGCGAATGAGGCAAATTCAGAAACACTTTGTTCAATTTCCCACAGGGACTGAAGTTTTTTGTTCCAATTTCACCCTTTGGAAGACGTTGATCTATTATCCTGTCATGAAAATCAGGAGAGAAACTTTTTTTACCAAAGTGCCCCCTACATTTTACATTTCTCAATGTTTGGGAAAATGTCAGAACCTTTCGACCACGTGAATAATTCCTTGTCAAATCAGAGAATATTTAGCCCAATAGCATTTAGATCTTCAAACTTTGAAATGTTAAAAAAAATAAGGCTTTACATGAGAAACATTGCAGTCCATGTACACAGTCACCATCCAGGAATTTCTCTGCTCAGAATACGTCAAGTTGTTTCCTTCTATTTTCCCCGTGATTTTTGATGTGGGAGGTCGACGGGGAGAGGTGTGTGAGTGATTTGTGTGTGAAGGTCCCAATATCAACCTGATGGGCAGGAGAAGGAGGGGAACATTGATTCTCCAGGCCCACCAGCGCCTCAAATTTCTCAATTTATTGTCTGGGAAATGCCAACAGGCCCTGCTCGACATCCCTCCGCTTTTCTTGGGTCTTTCTCTTCCGCACTTTGTGCTTCTCCAGGCTGCCTCCCAGATCTGACAGATCTGCCTCTATGACATCTGCCAACATAGGGCAGACACAATAGTAACTGCCCAGTTGTCCGGGTGAATTAAAAGGACTCAGGGACCCACAGCTGCTGTTGCCACCAGCATCAGCAGTTCTACCAACCTAAGGCATATTCCCTACCCGCCTTCACTCCACGACACTCCCTGAAGTGGCCAGCACCTTTCTGTGGTGCTGCAGGGGGCATCTTTGCACACCCCCCACAGGTGCTGATTTGCAGCTCCCATTGGCTACACTATGCGGCCAATGGGAGCTATGGGGTTGGTCCCTGAGTATAGCAGCACCCTGAGAACATCTGGCCACCCCTCCTCAGAGCTTCACCCCACACACCAAATTGTACACAGGGCGTTCATCACCTAATAAACCATCTTGTAGTCTTTAAAGTGCGACATAGTCCTGTTTTTTGTTTCATGGTCCCTAGGCACACCTATAATTGCAGGCCCTAAAATTAACCTATACAGAAGGGAGAAATGCCCAATCATCTATACAGCTAATATCTCCCACTGTAGTTTTCACTCTGGAGAGTGGCACACCATGTGAGGAATTAATAGTCCTTCATTCTGAAATCACAGCCATTGTGTTGTACCCTGCAATTATACTCAGGATTCACCTGGTCCTTAATTGGATGAAGTAAGGTGAAAAGTAAGGTGATGTTGGCACCATCTGTAAAAGCTACAGAGGAATGCGTTGCGCTCCAGAGCTAATACTTCGTGTCTCAAGATCGTTCATTGTCATTTACAAAATAACAGGATTCTGGCTGATTTTGGCCAGACATTTCCGCCAGAAAGTGTTACGTAGGAGCCTAGGTTTTTTAAAACACAATTTTGAATTGGACAGAACTGTAGTAACAAGCAGCATTCCCTCTTGCATTTTCTATCTTTGTGTGTGTGGAATTTTCTTACGTGCACTACCAGTACAAACAAAAAACCTTGATAAAAATATATTTTAAACAGCTTATGGGTATGGAAAATAATTTTTTTTAAAGGAACAATGCCTATGATGTGTATCTAATATCAACTAAAAATAAAATTAACACGACCTTGGTACTCCATGTATTTGATCATCCTTTCTAATAACTCAAGTTAGTAATCAATCAAAATGCATCTTATCCTCACATAGCTCAGGTTAAGATGATAAACAAATCTATGAGTCAACTGGAAACAGTCATGTTGTCAAGGCAAGTATTAATACAATCTTTACTTACACCGGAAAGGTGAGAAACAGCCATACCGTTTCTCTGGGATGTCAACTCTTAATTTGATTAATAGTGCACAGACATGGAAGAGTAAAAATCAGCATTAAAGCAACACAGAAAGCAACTAAAGCCACAAATGTGAAAATAGGAAGGGAACTAAAACACCGGGTGGTTGGTGATGGGTATTTTAGATAAATATTTAAGATCACTATACAAGTGATACAGAGACCTGAAAAGCACAGATAAAAGTTCTCCTTGTTTGAAACGTTTACACTGTGTGCGACACCAGCTCGACAAGTAGACACTCCAGAGCGGCAATTTAGTACATGGTTTCAGAGTTTGTAGACAGATCCATTTATTAAAGCGTTTGCAAATACAGCCTTCATCCTACAACACATCTAGCAACAAACCTAGAACACCCATGGACTCGTAAGGGTCAGAACTAGACCATAAAGAAAAGATCTGGCCTTTATACCCTCTCCAAACAAATTCTAAAATTCAATGCATGTATTGACGTATTGGTTTCCAAAGTGATGTCGCAAATAATCTCTGAAATCAAGAAGGCAAAGTATTCTGGAATCAACATCAATTCATCCCCTGAGACTGGTCACACTGAGCAGCTTACAGAATTACATGCTAGATCCTCTGGACTGAGACTCATCCCACAGCGACCTCTTGTCCCAACCCTGTTACTGAGCG